GAGAAGGCCGTCTCTCTATACTGGCAAAGAGGGGAGCAAGGTTACACACACACACACACACACACACACAGACACACACAGACACACACAGACACACACACTCACACACACACACACACACACACACACACAAATATATATATATATATATATACTCCTATTTTAATTCACCATTTGTAAGCTCCAATGATTTTTAGAAATATCAGCTATAGTATGACATCTACATTCCCTGAAAAATGTGTAAATGTGATTTAGTTATTGACTTAAGTCTTGATTAAGGAACATATTGACCAAGTTACAAACAAATTTCATACACAGATGCTGTCATTTAGAGATGCATTTCTTCATAAAAAGGTGTAATGCTTTCAGACATGTTTATTTCATTATTGCAAAGCAATGGTTTCACATCTGAAGAGTTATAAAATGACATTTGATTGAATTATTTTAATCAAACAAAACTGAAAAAGTAAAAAACAACAGTTTAGTTTAAGTAAAAGTTCACACCATTCTGTTCTGGAGACAATCCAAAACTAATATTGCTTAAGGGGGCTAATAATATTGACCTTAAAATGGCTTTAAAACAATTAAAAACTGCTTTTATTCTAGCCAAAATAAAACAAATACGACTTTCCCCAGAAGAACAAATATAATTGGAAATACTGTGGAAAATTTCCTGAATCTGTTCAACATTATTTGGGGGAAAATTGAGAAAAAGTTTACAAAAGGGCGAAATAATTCTGACTTCAACTGTAAAAGTATGTGTGTAAATATATATATTGATTCTGCCCCTTGTTTTTCTCCTCAGACTCTCTCTCTCTGTCATCTCACTTGATTGAATGAATTGATTTCTCTCCTGTGTTGTTCTGCGCTCTCCTCTCCTTCTCTCTGTAATACTCCTCCTTCAGGTTCTCCCTCTCTCTGCGCCTCCAGCCTTTAGCAGTGACGTGATACAGATCTACATTATTCCCAGAGTATGCGTCTCTGTATGTGGCCCGATACACAGCCTCTCTGGCCACCGCTGCGGCCTCCTGGGCGCTCATGCCCCAGCGGACCCCGCCGTCGAGGATAGAGTAGGCGTACGGGGACCCGGAGCCCACAGAGAACAGCGCCCCCTGCAGACGAAGCCCATCACTGCACACATACACCACCCGCGGCCCACGCACACCCGACAACCCAGAACTTGCTGCTGATTGGCTGCTGGATTTGCTTGTCAGTGTAGTATTTGCATATCTCTCTGTCATTGGTTGCTCGTTGTCTTGGTCTTCATCTCCGTCCCACCCACACAGAGTGGCCGCGACGCACAGCTCCGTGCCTTCGAAGAACAAAAACAGTCAAAACATTATAACAGATTTTAGATATGATCATTGAATCACATGTGAAAAGAGATTTACCACCACACACTTTATAAATTATATTTATTATTGTATTTTATTTCAAAGGCCCTATTAGGCCTATTAGGTCCACCAGAGCGCTTTTGTAACCCAGGCTCATTGTGGATATGTACCCAGCTCTACATTTCTGTAGACCGTGAAATATGTACCCACATCTGTTTGCAGTTTTGAGGTATTTTCGTCTTTAAAACAAACGCCACGGTGCGGTATGATCCCGCCGACTGCTTCTGCTCCTTTTAGCGATACCAGCTGACCGCTTACCTCTGTGTGGACGGCTTTTTCTTTGTTACCAGTTTGCCCAGTAGCTGCCTTGTACGTTAGCGAACTTGGGAAGCTGACTTCTACGACAGGGTTCGAATCTGACAAAGAATGGTTCCAAAAAGCAGGTTCAAAAAAAAGCAAATAACAATATAAACAAGTAAATAATGGGGTCAGAATGTGGTAAGATCTGAAAACGTGGTAAAAATCAGGTGGCCGCGAGAGCTTATCTTTTTCTGGACTGCTTTTGAAAACACTATTGGTTGGGCCACCCCCATCCCCCTCCCCCACGCTCTTCACTGCTGTCCGTGACACCCACTGTCCCCACCCCGCTCTACACTTTCGTCCGCGACACCCACCGTCGACACCCCGCTCTGCACTTTCGTCCGCGATACCCACTGTCCACACTCCGCTCTGCACTTTCGTCCGTGAACACCCCATCCCCCAAACCATTAACCACCCCAAACCCCCCTAACCCGCCTACATGTTCACTTGTGTGATAGCGGCATGAACACCGTGAGGGTGGCATGGTTGTTGTTCGCCTAGAGCACCAGTTAGGCTTGCGCCAGTCCTGGGTTGGGTTTAGGGAATGGAGTGTATGGGGAAATCAGTTGGTCGTTCGGTATGTCCGTAGGTCAGTCGACAGGGGCCTCTGGTGGATTTACGTGAGAACAGCAGGCGCAATACAGAAATTTGCTAAAGCAATTTGAGATCTCAAAAAGTGTACGCAGCGGCCTCTGGTGGATTCGTGAAAACAAAAACTGCAAAAATGTACTTCCTGGGATGTATTTTGCGCTCTCCTAAAATGAATATCCGGGTACATATCAATAATGAGCCTAGGTTGGCGTTACTATAGTCGCCTATACAATCTCCACTAAATATTGGACCTGTTCCAGTATGTCATCGTGCTACAGACTGCAGCGAGGACAACTTGTAGCAAGGTGCTGAGTGTGTTCTGGCATTGAAAGTTGAAAAACACCTCGCCCATTATCACTTTTGAGCTAGGCATTCAATCACAGTGGAGCAGAGGCAAGACAAACCACGCAGCTCTCATCACCAACACAACAACTTGTAAGGGCAACCGACTGAAAATAACATCGTGTTGCAAAAACACCCACAGCTGAGCGTTTTTTTAAAAAGCGCTCGCATGTCGGTAAAAACGGTATGGTGGACACACACTGTAAAAAATATTTGACAAAAAGTCATGACTACAAATGTTCTTATATTACTTTAACTTATTTTAATAGGTTAATCAGCTATCAACTACATTTCTTCAAGTATAACTCAATGTTTTAAGTCAGTATGATATAAATTCTGACTCATTTTATTCTAGGCTTGTCAAAAGTATCAAGTTCGGAACCAATTGGTACTAACATTTTTGTCCATTTCCGGCTTACATTTGAGCGCTGTTGAGCTCGTTCTTAAACACTGCTGATTGGCCACTGTGTTCACATGCTCAATAGAAATGACTGTGATTGGCCGTGAAGATCATCAGTGCACTTCACCAATGTTCAGAGTGCAAACACAGATATAAGGACATAAAGCGTTTCAAAGCCGCGTACATCAGTTGATCCATCAGCGGATCACTCATATGTCAGCTCATATTCAGATCAGCTGATTGACGCAGCTTTGAAACACTAAAGTGTCCGTGTATATTTTTGTCTGCTGTTTGGTAAACAGCAGTAAAAACTGATGACCTTAAACCATGTTAGACCATGCGCCGGGGTTTTTTTGTCCTTATTCATTCATTCATTTTCTTGTCGGCTTAGTCCCTTTATTAATCCGGGGTCGCCACAGCGGAATGAACCGCCAACTTATCTAGCAAGTTTTCACGCAGCGGATGCCCTTCCAGCCGCAACCCACAACCCATCTCTGGGAAACACACACACTCATACACTACGGACAATTTAGCCAACCCAATTCACCTGTACCGCATGTCTTAGGACTGTAGGGGAAACCGGAGCACCCGGAGGAAACCCACGCGAAGGCAGGGAGAACATGCAAACTCCACACAGAAACGCCACCTGAGCGAGGTTCAAACCAGCGACCCAGCGACCTGATTGCTGTGAGGCGACAGCACTACCTACTGCGCCACTGCCTCGCCTTTTTCGTCCTTAAAATAGCAAAAATGTATTCGGACAGGCCCTTAATGCTTTTGCGCCATGAGCTTTAGACTTTGCGAATAGATCATTAAACTAGAGCCCCTAATGTTACTTGAAAAATGTTGAATAAAAACAATCCAAAAAGTAATACAGAAAGCTCAGTGCCTTTGAATGGGTGCAGCATGTGGGACAGGAGTTTGGCAGCACCCCCAGTTGATAGTCTGCGGCGGTGTCGGAGCTGATAGAGCCGCAGTTCCCTGGCCAGAATCCGTTTCCAGAGCGCACAATCCGCTGATGTCCCAGAAGTGGTGCCCACCAGGTGAGAGTGAATAGGTAACACTTTCGGGGAAGCAGGACAGGCCACTTTCCCAGCACAACTGGAGCGTGTGTCGGCTGCCGCAATAACTCCTCCTTGAAAAGCAAAACCAAGAGTCGTAGTCCCATGGGAAAGAGTGAACGGTAGAGCACCTGACTGGGAGATGTACGGAAGCGTGGGGTGCATATGGTCAACATCCAATAGGTTCGAGCTTTGAGGTGTTTGACCAAAATTTATAGGGCTCTTTGTGATATATTCAGATATCGGCATGTAAAACTCAAGAGGGTTTAAACCGCTCCGCCTAGGCACCCAGGAAGAAAAAGCTTCTCCATAAATCCCCCCTCCGAACAGATGAGTGGAATCCTCCGGCATAAAGGACTGTGAGAGTGGAGCAGTCCATTGAGGGAACAGAGGGGGCTCGAGCAGGCCGCATACATCTTGCAAAGCCATGTAACTACTGAGTGGATATACAGTGAATTGTAACTGTGTCGATAACTACACTGTAGGAAATACACTGTAAAAACATGGCAGATATGAGGTAAAGTTGGATTAATATTCGCACATTCAAATTTAGCGTTCACTAAAATAGTTATACAGGGGCTAATACTGTTTAATTATAATGACATAAGCACAATTTAGGCTACTGCTTAATGTTTACCTCACTTCTTTTAATATTCAATCTGAAATTGAATGTAAGAATGACTTTAAAACAACATCAGCACTATTTAACTGTGAACAATGTTGTACTTTAATAGTCATTGGCTGATTACATTACTATAAATGTGCCAATATAAAACCAACTTTACCTCAATAGATATAAGTTGCGGCTAATTGCTGCCCTCGTTTGATTTAGTAATCCTTTCTTGTTGATAAAGAATGAAGTAGTAGATTCCACTTGGTGTTTATATCCTCCTGTGGTGACGATGGATGTTGACTTTGAGTTGAGTGTCAGACTGGGGTCCAGCATATAATATCCAGCTCAGTCCACTATACTTGATGTCTTTTCGAGCTCACTAAAGCGTTGATAGCTCAGTACAGCTGTGAAAGTTCATGGGCCTGTTATATAAGCTCTGATCTAGGATTGTGTTAACCAAAGACGCATAAAAATGCCAAAGTAAGCCTTGTTAGCCAAGCTTGAAGATACACGCCGTTTTCTGAAAGCGTTGACATTTCGTGTTGTGCAGTGCTGTATTTATAATTTCTTAGATATACATGACAGTATGTCATGTGGAACATGATGCATGTTTTTAAAATGACATTTACTTTGGTCATTATCTAATAATTGCTAAAGAACACACAATGCAATTCACAGCTCAACAGTTCATGGTTAAAATTAATAATAATAATAATAATAATAATAATAATAATAATAATATCAACTTTATCTTGCTGCACTTTGTTAGTCAACACAAGCCTGCTGTATTTTAGTTTGATAATGGTTTTATGTACTTTTAACATTATTAAACATGTGCATTCACATATGTGCATCAAATGTTCATATAAAACATGGTATACATATTTATCAAAGATTAAGTACAAGGAAGAAGAAAAGAGATACGATTTCCTAGTAATGGTCTTTAGCAGATAAGTCTTCAGTAACATTATTTATCTCCTTTGCTTCATTTTTGAACTACCCTGCTGGAAAACCCCCAGCTTAAACCAGCCTAGGCTGGTTGGCTGGTTTTAGCTGGTCGACCAGCCTGGTTTTAGAAGGGTTTGATCATTCCAGGCTGGTCTTTGCTGGTCATGCTGGGAGATGACCAGCTAAAACGAGATTGAACAGCAAATCCAGGCATGGAAGCCCAGCCAAAACCAGTTATGTCCAGTTTAAACCAGTTTAAACCACCTATGAGACCAGGCTGGAAATGGCCCAAACCCCTCTGAAACCAGGCTGGTCAACAGGCTAAAACCAGCCAATCATCTTAGGTTGGATTAAGCTTTTTTGTTCAGCAGGGTATTCAAAACACTGTACATATATATACAAAATACCGTTTATAGGGGACACACCAACAGTGTTTTCAAGGTGAAATACACATTTAAAAATATATTAGTTGTAACAGGTTTAAGACGATTCTTACATTTTCTGTAATGTTAGTTTGTATAATACAGCAAACACACTTCAGTGAATCACATTTATTTAAATTACATCTAATTATTTAAAAAACATATTCATTTAGACTAGATATTCTTCAAGACACTTCTAATCAGCTCAAAGTTACATTTAAAGGCTTCACTAGGTTAATTAGGCAGGTTAGGGTAATTAGGCAAGTTATTGCATAACGATGGTTTGTTCTGTAGCTTAAAGGGGCTAATAATATTGACCTTAAAATGGTGTTTAAAGAATTAAAACTGCTTTTATTCTAGCCGAAATAAAACAAATAAGACTTTCTCCAGAAGAAAAAATATTATCAGACATACTGTGAACATTTCCTTGCTCTGTTAAACATCATTTGGGAAATATTTAAAAAGAAGAAAAAAAATCAAAGGGGGTGAATAATACTGACTTCAAAAGTGCCTCACAGCAAGAAGATCGCTGGTTCGACCCCTCGGCTGGGCCAGTTGGCGTTTCTGTGTGGAGTTTGCATGTTCTCCCTGTGTTGGCGTGGGTTTCCTCCGTGTGCTCCGGTTTCCCCCACAGTCCAAGCATGCTGTACAGGTGAATTGGGTAGGCTAAATTGTGTGTAGTGTATGAGTGTGTATGTGTTATTATTATTATCATTATTAAATATTATCATTATTATTATTATCACATTATTATTATTATTATTATCATTATTATTATTATTATTATTATTATTATTATTATTATTATTATTATTATTATTATTATTGTTATTATTGTTATTAATATTATTATCATTATCATTATTATTATTATCATTATCCTTATTATTATCATTATTATTATTATCATTATTATTATTATCATTATCATTATTATTATCATTATTGTTATTATTATAATTATTATTGTTATTATTATTATCATTATCCTTATTATTATCATTATTATTATTATCATTATTATTATTATTATTATTATTATCATTATTATTATCATTATTGTTATTATTATAATTATTATTGTTATTATTATTATTATTATTATCATTATTATTAATATTATTATTATTATCATTATCAATATTATTATCATTATCATTATTATTATTATTATTATTATTATTATTATTATTATTATTATTATTATTATTATTATTATTATTTAGCTTTTACAAAACTTTGCGTATCAAAAATGTCCACAGATTCTGTCTAGTCCTCACCTTGTATCGTTGTAATACCTGTGTCATACCAACGTCTCTATACAAGTTTGTGTGGCGCGCGCGCGCACACACACACACACACACACCTGTCATTCTCACACACGGAAGAGCGCGCTCCGGACTCAATCATGTAGTGACAGAAACAGCAGATGTTGGATCGCCTCATCGCGTCGCGTTGATCAGATAAAAGATGATTGTGCTGAGTTTGATCTGTGCTGCTCTTCTTCTGCAGTCCTCGGTGAGATCATTTAACTTTATTTTCACTTTACAGCTTTCAGAGTCGCTCGAGATTCAGTTTCACATCACACGGCTCTTTTAAAGGCACAGTTCAACCAAAAAAATGCAAATCCTGCCGTCATTTACTCACTCGTTTAAGACCTTTATGAGTATGTTTACAGAATTTTAAAACAAACAAATATGCATGTCATCTACAGGTTACCTTCTGATATTTTCTGATTGAGGTCGACCCAAATCTTACCGTGTAACAACAACAAATCTGTCAGATTGTTGGTACTATATAGAAACCTGTTGTCTGTTAGCTTTCCTGCTTTTAATTAATTCATTTTAAATTGAATTTGTTTCATACACTTCTATACTATCATAATTTACTTACCCCTTCCCTTCATTTGTTGTTTTATTTTTCTCTCTGTAAAAATGCAGTTAATGTAACTATTATGGGCTATTTTCCCTCTTTTATATTGATCTACTGATGGTTTGTATATTTTGAGAGAGCTTAACGCGCTGCAATTTAAGAAAGCACATGCGATTACAAAAAACACCAGCAAATAAAGAAACGATCATCATCAATTTGACAGCACACGTGTTGCACATCAGTCACAACACAAACAACTGAAGAAACGCGCAGCAAAATGGTCGCAACACTTGCAAATATCCCTGTAACACAACGTAAATGTTTCAAGGGGACCCAAAAACATGACGGAGATAAGGATGTGTTAAAATAAACGAAAAACAACACCTTTCAAAGACCACCAATCACTTCACTGAGCATCAGTCACGACATAATAACACATCGGCTGCGTCCGAAACCGCCTACTACTCAGTAGGTGCTGCATTTGAATTTAAACGTACTACTCGGCCGTTAGAAAAGTACGTTCTATACAGTATGAATGCAATTCGAACACACTACATCCGCCATTTTGTCACAGTCACGTGACCTACCTGCGTCAGTTGAGTCGCCTCACTTCCATTCATGAATTCTCTCACGGGGCATTATGGGATAGCGCAGCGTGCATGAAATGCGCACTTCAGAATCTCGCCGGAAGTAGTAAGTCATCCGGGTTCTTCTCGCCTACTGATTTTCGAATTCTAAGAATTCGGACATACTACTCGGCTCGCATACTGATTTTAGCGTACTATATAGTATGGAAGTATGCGGTTTCGGACGCAGCCATCATATCTCAGCAGGGTGCGTCATGGTTTTGGGTCCTCTTGAAACATTTCCTTTGTGTTACGTGGATGTTTGCAAGTGTTGTGACCAATTTGCAGCGCATTTCTTCAGTTGTTTGTGTTGTGAAAAATTTGTATGCATGTGTGCTGTGAAATTGAAGATCGTTTCTTTATTTGCTGGTGTTTTTTGTAATTGCATGTGCTTTCTTAAAATGCAGCGCGTTAAGCTCTCTCGGCCACCGTACATTATTGATTCAAACCCCCTGTAAACATTTCTGGAGATTGTGAAATGCATCCCAGGAGCAACATTTTTTTTGCAGTTTTTGTTTTCTTGAATCCACCAGAGGGCGCTGTGTACACTTTTCAGATCTCAAATTTCTCTCGCGAGTGCCATTCACACCTGCTGTTCTCACATAAATCCACCAGAGGCCGCTGTCGACTGACTTGACCCAGCTCCTTCCCTAAACCCAACCGATTAACCCAACACAGTTTAACCACAGCGGAATGAACCGCCCACCATTCTGGCAAATGTTTTACACAGCGGACGCCCTTCCAGCTGTAACCCAGTACTGGGAAACACCCATACACACCCATTTATACATACACTCTGCCAATTTAGTTAATCAGTTCCTCTATAGCGCATGTGTTTGGACTGTGGGGGAAACCGAAACACCCGGAGGAAACCCACGCCAACACGGGGAGAACATGCAAACTCCACACAGAAGCACCAACTGACCCAGCTGAGGCTCGAACCAGCGACCTTCTAGCTGTGTGGTGACAGTGCTAACCACTGAGCCACCGTGCTGCAGACTCTTTTTTTAACTCTAATAAGCTCTTTGATATATAAGTTATGTCGACACATTCAATCCAGTTAAATTAACTCAAAATATTAAGTTATAATATTAATAGTTTTTTACAGTGTTGTGTGTCTAGAAAGGCGCCGATCAATAAAATATATTATAATTATCATATGAAGTCTATATAATCTGTCTCTTCGAAGGTTTGCACCGAGTCTCCAGATGCTGACAGGACTGATCATGGAGACTTTGTGTATTTTAAAGATGCTCCGGACACAGTGCAGAACAACTCTAGTGTACACTTGCTGTATAACTGCTCTGCCGCCTGTCGAGTCAGTGTGGAAATTATAATCTCCTCGCCATCGAGAGCAGGAGCGGTAGTATTCAGAAGGACCTGGACTAACTCTAAAAATGTTGGAAAGCCCAGATCTAGAGATTTCCCTCTGGTGTTTCCTCCAGCTCTGCTCTACCAGAGAGACTTTTTCATCAGGCGTCCGCTGGAGGCCTGTGATGTGCTTCTGAGGGCCCGTTTGCTCCATTTGGCAGAACAGGAGCTTATTGGAGACCATGTTGATGGATCAATTGTGAAAGCATCTAGGTTTGTGAGGACTCTACCGCTTTCTGAACGTCCAGCATGTCCACGCACAAGATCAGTGTCATGGGGAGCGTGGCTGATGTGGCGGATTACCAAAAACACTGTGAGGACATGTCCAGTCGAGTCAGGTGAGAGCCGTATTGACCAGAACCAAGGGCAGAATTTAAAGGGATAGTTCACGCAAAGATGAAATACAAACTACTTATTTAAAATGAGCGGAATTCTTGAGTGTTTTTGAGACAACTCAATGTTTTATGTTTAATCCACTTAAATCTGTGAAAACAATTAAGTTAACTTAATTGATTTGTGTTGGGAAAACATGAAGGGATTGTGTCCTGCCTTTTTTCACCCAAAAATGAAAGCTAAATATTCTTTCTTCTAACTTCCCCATTGGGAAATGATTTAGCTTGCTTTACAGAAAAACCCACTTAATTATTTATACAAGACATTATTTAGACATCTAAATAAATGCTTCTTGATTTAAGGGGCACCTCTGGTAAAAATCTACTTTTCAAGCTGTTTGGATAGACATGTGTGTAGGTAGTGCAGGGGTCACCAATCTCGTCCTGGAGGTCCGGTGCCCTGCAGGGTTTAGCTCCAACTTGCCTCAACACACCTGCCTGGCTGTTTCAAGTATACCTAGCAAGACCTTGATTAGCTTGTTCAGGTGTGTTTGATTAGGGTTAGAGCTGAAATCTGCAGGACACGGGACCTCCAGGAACAAGTTTGGACCCGGTTTCTCAAAAGTAATCCACTAGGATTTTGGATAAGGGTTTGGATCAAATCTTGAAAATGGGTTTTTCAAAAGAAAAAACGGATAACCTAATCGGATTATATCACGTAATCCAATCTTGGTTTTGATCTGGATCAAACCTTTAGTTGTGGTTTTTCAGACCTGTTTTGTTGGATTTGGATCACTTTGGTCCAAAAAACCTGGATTAAACTGATCCCATCAGAAGGGTAGATTTAGCGTGGATTTCATGCCCAAAATGTAATGAAAACTTTAAAAAAATATTAAATAAAACTATATTTGGATCATGCAGTATCTTACGAGATATACTATTTATTCATAAGGTTTTAATTTTATTTGTTCATCTGTCAGGCTATAGTGAGTATAGGCTTTAACGTATTCAGCCTTTCAGTATAGGCCTACAGCAAAGTAGAAAGAGTTTGGCCTCATAAAATAATCCCCCAAACAGCTGTCAAAACTGACCAAAAACAATACATTTTATTCTGTTACTAATTGACTAATTTCCATCACAATGGAAAATGTTTTTGTGTTTAGAATATTTATTAGTGATGCATGATTACAGAATAACAAAAAAATGCAAAGAGTGGCAATGCCTGATTTTTTAAATCTCTTTCAACAATTGCAAAAAGAGACTGAAAGGGCAGAAGCACAGCTTCATCTGGCAAAGGAACAACTGACTCTGACCAAACTGCAGCAAACCAAGACCACACTTTAGATCTGCCTCCTAAAGAATACGCTCAGACGAGCTGCTTCCTCCACATCAGATGAGGAAGCCTGACATTATTGTGGAGTTTTCAACATTGTCTTTTTTTTTATTCAATACATCTATATTTGAAACTTATTTGCGGGGATGGGCTCTTGGCTCCGCCCCCTTGTTAAGTAGGGCGGGAAGTTGAAACAACTTTTCATGTGAGGCTTATTAAATGTACCGCTGGTTTGTACTTTGAGCAAATGAATGACATGACAGTGAGCTTAAATGAGAGTATTTGATCAGGTGTTTTTTGAGGATACTGTATTGATTTACCAGCTTCATTAACGGTTCGGTATACTTCTAAACTCTGCTGCATCCTTTATGGATTCATCTGTGCCTTTGCAGACACTGTGGATATCCTGACGTTTCCATTCGCAAGTACCGGCGAGAGGTTTGGTGTCATACACACATTCTCCTCCTTCAAGAACGGAGATCTGGAATGGAGACGGACACTCGCTGTCAAACAGCCGAGGTCAGAGTTGTTGTGGAAAACCTTTATTCACATTTCTAACTACTGACTACTAAATCAATGCATGTTACAATAAGGTAAACAGATATGCATCAAGTACGAGCAAAGCACACTGAGTGGTTGCTAGGTTGTTTCTGGAGGGAGGTTTATCAAGTCTGGCCTCTTTTGTGTTCTGTATCTTGTGCTCTCATTAGCTCTAGATCTTTGGCTCCTTTCGTAGTATGTTCCCTCTCCAAGTATTTTGCCAAGTATACCATCACAACAATACCCTAGACAGCATTCAGAATAACATCAAACATTATTGGCGTATATTTCAACTACAGCGTAGACATGCTCTAGAATGCACTGATAACCCCCTAGCAACAACTTAGACCGTAACATCAACTATTAGCCCCTTTCACACAGTGATACCAGTAAATATCCGGAAAATTTCCGGAACGACTTTACCGGTATATTCAAAAAAGCGCTGTTCACACGTTACGGAATTTTTCCGGAAAAGAGCATTCACACATTCATCCCAAAATGCCGGTAAATTCTGACATCATTCACCACAAATGAACTTTAAACGGCTGCGCTTGTGTTTGTAAACATTTGACTACATTACAAACTCTTTGGATGATCAGTATTGAGTACAACTCCAATGAAAACATATGGAGGAACACTTTCGCATGTCGAGATGTTCATGATATGTGTGTGTGCTGGCGCTATGGGCGCTCACGGGCACACGCAAAGCTTGAAGGTATCAAACAACGGATCATCATAAACATTTTATCGATAATTATTTACACAGTTAGCATTAAGAAGGATCATAGAAACGTTATCTGACTAACATCTAGCAGCTAAATGTGTCTGGAAAAATATTCAAAGGCTTTTATTCTCATAAACCGCGCCCACGTGAATGCGTCTGACTGTTCTGATTGGCTAAAGTAGACGTCTCACGTCAGCACGTTCTAGATGTGTACGCGCTCTTTCCGGTAATCTTCCTTCTGCATTCACACAGCGCAGCATTCCGGCAAATTACCGGTAATGTTACAACTTCTCTTTCCGGAAAATAGCCAGAACGAATTTACCGGTATTTTCAAAAAGGACCTGTTCACACATACAACCTTTCCAGAAAATTGCCGGTAATTTTCCGGAAAGGTCTGTATGTGTGAAAGGGGCTATTAACTCCAGAGCAACACCTTAGACTAAGTCACTAATTCCACCCTGAACACCATAGCAACAACTTAGTACCCAATGTCAACTCTTAACTCTACAACAACAACCTGGAAATTTCCATTACTGGGCAAGTGTTTGGCCTCTACATGAACTCTGCGAACATAGTAGCTGGCAAATGTCACTTGCAGAAAATGCCCAGTTATATGTATTTGCATTAGTGCTGCACAATAAATATCATTATCTCGATAATACTTCAACCCCAAATCAGCACAAGTTAGTTCACTATGGAAAACACAAATATAAAAAGTAGTGATTTACAAATTTACTTTGACTTGTGTTTCATTGCAGACAATACAACAAACATTATTTAATGTGTTCCTCATGATTTTATTGTCTTTTTTTTTCAAACAAAACACGTATTCCAATTTAGTTTTTTGCAACACATTTAAACAAAAAAAAGTTGGACAGTAAAGCATTTACCACATTGTCATGTTGCCATTGCTGTAATTTTGTCCCATTCTTCCTGCACACAAGTCTTAAGGTGGGCAACAGTACGGGGTCTTCATTGTTGCATTTCGCACTTCAAAATGCACCACACATTCTCTACTGGAGACAGGTCAGGACTGCAGGCAGGCCAGTCCAGTAGCTGTATCCTCTTCCTCTGCAGCAGGACTCTGTAATGTGTGCAGAATGTGGTTTTGGATTGTCTTGTTGAAATATGCATGGGCATCCCTGGAGAAGAAGGCAGCATGTTGTGCTCTAAAACCTCTCTGTGCTTTTTAGCATTATTGGAGCATCATAGAAGAGCAAGTAACCTTTGCCAAGGGTGCTGACACAACCACATACCATTACAGACCCTGGCTTTTGGACTTGTTGCTGGTAACAGTCTGGATGATCCTTTTCTTCTTTGGTCTAGAGCACACAGCGTCCATTTCTCCCGAAAAACATGAAATACTGATTCATCTGACCACAGTTAACTTTTCCACTGTGTAATGGTGCATCCCAGATGCATCAGTGGCCAGATAAGTCGACGGTGCTTCTGGACACTGTTAACATAGGGCTTCCATTTGGCACAGTACAGTTTGCACAGGCATTTATTGATGTAACTCTGCATTGTGGTACTTGACAAAGGTTTGCCAAAGTAGTCCTGATCCCATGTGTTGATCTGGCTTATAGATGAATGAGGATTCTTGATATAGCGCCCCCTGAGGGATCGGAGATCACGGTTGTTCAGCTTAGGCTTGCCCCTTGCCCTTTACAAACTGAAACTTCTCCAGATTCCTTGAATCTTTTGTTGATGCTCTGCACTGTTGAAGGTGAAATATTCAAATGTCTTCCTCTCTTTCTCTGAGGAGCATCGTTTATAAACTTTTCAATCATTATCTCATGTATTTGTTGGCAAACTGGCGATCCTCAGCCCATCTTTGTGCCTAAAGGTCTAGACCTTTCATGAATAATCACCTGTTGACATCACCTGTTTCAAATCACATCATTATTTCTCCAGTTTACCTGATTGCTGCCCTAAACTGCTCCTGTACCAACTCTTTTTGAAATGTGTTGCCAAACATTTGTTCGCTGCTTGCATACATTGTTTATCTAAAGGTTGTTTATCAGATTAAGTCTTTACAATCTTTATCCACGCCTCTCCAGGGGTCCGTTCTTCGTACGTGGATTACTCAGTTAGCTGGATTTGGATATTGACGATTTGACACGATCCAGGTTCGTTTCGTTCTTCAAAGCTGATCCGAGAGTTGTTGTCATGGCAACAGTTCTGCTAGGTCAAACCTGATCGGGAGCAAGTTCCATTCATATAAACAGGATTAGATCGGCTCAGTTCAAGCAAAGATAATACAGAAAGTATGTTCCGAGTTCTGATATTTTCTTACAGTAGTAGTTATATACACTTGGGAAAATGGTACATATTTTTAACTATATATACAAAGTTATAGTCATTAATAAAATAAATAAAGTTATACATATTAATAAAACGTATGCAATCTGCACCCTCGAAATGAAAGTATAAAGACTGCCACCTGGTGCTAAGAGAAAACTTATTGAAATGAACTTTTTAGATCGCTTTCGTACAAATTGTGTATAATAGAAATGCAGAATATGTGACTTTTTAAAAGCAATAATACATTTATGCAGTCATAAACATGTTTTGACAGTTAATATGCTGGTGATTTGATGCTTCACAAAAGTTGCAGATGCCTTTACCATTATCAAAATGCTTTTGGAAACAACCAGTTATTCTTTACACTGATTAAAAAACTGTACTATTATAAAGAAAATCTTTTCTAAATGTAGAACTAAATACACTGATTTGCATTGAAATACATGATGAATACTCTCGACACATGAAAGTGTAAAGCCTGCAGCTCACAACAAATGTGGAAGGTTATTCCGTGTCATATTTAACAAGCCGTTTACCGCTAATTTGATGTAATTTTGCTCACATGGATAATTGAATATTAATCAGATGATGTCATCACGCTGCTATGCCGTCAGCCAATCGTTGCATTGCTGATCATGATTTCGAGGATCAACAGATCTGTCCTTCATAACACACGCAGCGATCTCAGATCAGTTCATCCAGACATTCTAATCTGATTCGCGAACTTGTTTGAAGAACCAATTTAGCGAGAGATCAGTTATCAAGATTAAAAGATCCAGGATATGCCAAATATTCTTAGATCATTTAAGCGAGGTACGAAGAACGGACCCCAGTAGCTGAACATAGAGAAAAACAAAAACACTAATGCTGAGAAATGAGA